CTACATACATTTCTACAGCATCTCCATTGAAGTCTATTGAACTAAAAATGCAACGTTTTGTGTTTCAAAAAGTCCCTGACCGTCTCCAAAAAAAGCACAGAAAATGCGATGATGTGAATCTGTCCCATAGGAAATTATTATACAGGATTTATATAGCACCAATGGTTTTCTCAGTGCTTTACATTATAGTGGGAGACAATACAGTAACAATACAGTTCAATACAAGAGGGATTAGAGGGCCCTGCTCCTTGGAGCTTACAATCTAGGAGATCACTTTAAATGGACTGCTGTGCATTTTTGCAAAACGCAATGGAAACCGCATAGGTGTGAACCTAGACTTAGACATTTTTTAAGTCTAGGTTCACACCTATGCTTTTGCTGTTGCATTTTGCATTTTGCAGAAATGCGCAGCAGTCCATTTAACATGTTTTCCTATGGGACAGGTTCACATCTCTGTGCTTTCAACCAGTGTGTTTTTTGGAAAGGGTCAGGGACCTCTGTAAATGCAAAACGTTGCGTTTTTGGTTCAATAGACTTCAATAGAGATGCTGTAGAAATGCATGTGTGTCTTTGATGCGTTTTTGATGCATTTTGTGTTTAATTGTTCCAGCAACAGGTTGGAAAAAAAACGCAAAACACATCAAAAACATGTCAAAAACGCAAGTGCAAAACTGCAAAATGCACCGCAAAAAGCACTGCAGAAATAGATCAAACTTAAACTGCATAGGTGTGAACCTAGCCTTACTGTCAGTAAATGGGAAGACAGTAAAACATGAATAAATGTCTATGAGGACATTTCATATTATTGAATCATATGTTGCAGTGATATATGCCAGGCCTCCTTTAGACCTGCCCATTACCAAAGGCTGGCCATACATGATACAATTTTCTTGAGAATTTTGCTTTAGATTTACCAAAAACCATATAATATGAGGTCTAACCTAAACAACACTTTCAGTTGAGGTCTAACCTAAACAACACTTTCAGTTGTATCCAATTAGGCAGGCTCTTGCACTATATAGTTGAAGGTACAGCTAAAGAAAATTGGGCAGAAATTGGACAGAAAATTGTATAGTGTATGGCCAGCCTTACATGTAGTAGCCCGGAACAGTAAGCAGATTAGGGGACCTATTATCTCTGATTACATGTTTGGTAGCATGGTTGTTCCAGATCAGTAACTCAAAGTATTGTTTTTTTTTTTTTTTTTTTTTTTTTTTTTTTTTTTTTTTTTTTTTTTTTACACTAAGGACAGGCAGGCAACTAGCATTTTAGGAAAGTGTTTAATAATGAACCCAGTACAGAGTTGCCTTCAGTGTGTTCTGTAAAAACATTACAAATTAATAAGTGTACTTTTTTAAAGGAGTAGATGGTTCTCCTCAATGATCACATAGGTGTGAAATTAAATTTATTGAAAACTAAGCTGGGTTTTGTACCAATTATACTGAAAATAAAGCACAGACTGTAGTTACTGAGATCAGTTTGTACAATTACATACACCAAAGGGTGTATTTAAAAGAAAAAAAAAAGCAATTCACCCATTGAAAGTGCCTATACATTCCTTCTATGTGAATGCGAAAACCACACACACACACTGGTTATTAGGCTATTTCCTGTCCTGGACACGTTTTTTTTTTTTTTTTATTGAAAATGGAAAATACTGCATTTGGCCATTAAATGGTGTAAATATTTAGCATCACCTAGTGGCCAAATGTGTTTTTTTTTTCATTTTAAGTCAGTGAAAAAGTATGTATTTTTAGACTTTGCGGAGTTCATGTATAAAAAACTACAGGAAAGGTAAGATGAAGAAGTAGTCATTTTCAGGTTGCACAAAAAATGTTATTAGATGTCCCAGTGACTGTAAGTCAGACCCTACGTATTTTCAACCATAGATGTATCACAGGTTGGTGGATGAAGGGCTAATGGCTTTGTATGTCAAATCAAAGTACAACATCTAATTGTCTTCTATGTATAATTACAGGCATTAAAAAGGTATGATGATGGAAAGGAGGGGAAGTCTAAATCCTACTCACAGTTTAATCGTAAAATCGGACAGTGCACTGCGATCCTCAAATTTCAGCGGAGGGCAATCACCATATCCCGAATATTCAGCTACCTGAAAGATGAAGCCTCCAAGCATCATAACCATTGAAATGCTAACGCACATATAAAACAGCTATGATAACACAATAGGGTTGATTTACTAAAGGCAAATAGTCTGTGCACTTTGCAAGTGCAGTTGTACTCATTTTCCCCAGAGCTTAGTAAATGCGATCCAATCATGTGCAAGCAAGAATGTTTTTTTTTTATTATTATTTCCTTACACCTGATTGGGTATTCTTTATAAAGTGAAGCTTTACTACATTACATTTACTAAGGAAAATAAATGCAACTACACTTGCAGAGTGCAACAGTCTAGTTTAGAACATCCCCATTAATGTAGCACTGACAAATGCAAGAGTTTTAATGTGGTAAAGAGCAACATGCAATGTTCAGTAACCTAGAGCCACCGCGGATCTTTCACTGATCGAACTGTGCTAAGCTGCTGTACGTTACTGCACCAGCCGTGCTCTTTGCCTATCAGACACTTTTAAACAATTAAATTCATAAGGCTAGGTTCACACCTATGCAGTTTGCGTTTGACCCAATTCTGCATTGCATTTTGCGTTGCATTTTGTGTTTTTGCACCTGCGTTTTTGCTGCATTTTGCGTCTTTTTTCTTGTTGCTAGGCAGATTTAAAATGCAAAATGCATCAAAAACGCAGCACAAACGCATCAGAAACACACTACATGCTTTTCTGCAGCATTTCCATTGAAATATATAGAACCAAAAACGCAACTTTTTGCATTCCAAAAAGTCCCTGACCCTTTACAAAAAAACGCACCGGGTCAAAATGTGGAGATGTTAACGTGTCCCATAGGAAATCATGTTAGATGGACTGTAGTGCGTTTGTGCAAAACGCTGTGGAATATGCTTTGGTGTGAACCTAGGGTAAAGGATGTTTCTTTTTAGTAGTGAGAAGAGCAAATCTGAAGTGCAAATGCCTCACTTATAGATGATGGTACAGTTAGAGAACTGAAAGACGACTTCTAGATGGTTGTTATTGGTTACTGCACTTTTCTCTAACCTGCATGTGTCTTGCATATATTGGAGATTATTTATAAAAAGGAGACAATTATAAACTAGTTCTAGCCAATCACATTTAGGAAATATTCTTGATTTTTTAATCCTTTTCTTTTCTTTTTTTTTGTGGCAAACAAGAACATCCACAATTAGGAGAAACATTTCTCCTTTAGTAAATCCTATTTCTAAGCTCCACAGCTATTCTTGAATCACAGTTCCCATCATACACTACAAGCAGTGGCATATGGAGCATGCTGGGGCTTGAAGTTTCCACTTACGTCTGGGTAACCACATGATGCCAATAAAGGGTTCAGTGATGTCACACGGACCTTTTACTTCATTGACAATAATCTCAATAAAAACAAATCAGGTTTTTTTTTTTTTCCAAGCACTTAATGGTTTATCAATGAAATGGAAAATATGATGCTGCTTTAGGGAACCCTTGCAACTGGTTACGCTCTAGTTATTTATTTTATTTATAATAGAAATCATTATGTATAAATTGTCATAAGCACAATTTCTATTTAATTATTTATGTATTTATGAACTTTGTATTATGGTATTTATGAGTGAATAAATTGAAAGGATGTGCAATTATGGTTTTGTTTTTCTTTCATCAGAAAGTTAGTGGTGCATTGGATTTCTGAGCTGAGAATGAAGCACCAGTAGCTGCCATTATGGGGCATTTAGTTCTAGAAACAAGTAAAGCTAAAGAGTTTTCCTATTCCTGACCCCTAACAATAATCTGACCAAAAAAACTCTAGGTTAGATTCACATTACAGGATTAGAGGAACGCTGCATTTCAGTGTGCCTCTTTATCTGCCTGCTGATAGCATATCACATACAGTGAGGAACAGAAGTATTTGAACAGCCTGCGATTTTGCAAGTTCTCCCACTTAGTAATCATGGAGGGGTCTGAAATTCACATTGTAGGTGCATTCCCACTCTGAGAGACAGAATAAAAAAAAAATTCAGGAAATCACATTGTATGATTTTTAAAGAATGTATTTGTCTTGCACTGCTGAACATAAGTATTTGAACACCTGAGAAAATCAGTGTTAATATTTGGTACAGAAGCCTTTGTTTGCAATTACGGAGGTCAAACGTTTCCTGTAGTTCTTGACCAGGTTTGCACACACTGCAACAGGGATTTTGGCCCACTCCTCCACACAGATCTCCTCTAAATCTGTCAGGTTTCGGGGCTGTTGCTGAGCAACACGGAGTTTCAGCTCCCTCCAAAGATGTTCTATTAGATTTAGGTCTGGAGACTGGCTAGGCCACTCCATAACCTTGATATAAATCTCCCTGGCAGAATGCAGATAACAACAAATAAACTTGCATGGGTTATAGCCCTTCTTTATTCTATCCATAATTAAAGTTTTCAAAATGCATACACTTTAAATAAACTTTACAACAAGCTGTCACTAATCTTTTTGAATTATAGCCACCGTGGAGCAATTCATTCTCAAAGTTCACAGTGAAAAGTAGTGAAGTGGTTCAAGTTGAGTTTCAGTATTTACTCTCTCCCCTCCTCCTGTGCATATGTGCTGTAATTACATTAGAGAGGGCTGGCAATCACTGTAGGGCAGATGATCTATCACAACAGTGACAGAAAGTATTACAAATAACTTTAAGGATAAATTACTCCAGTGCCGGCCACTGCATACTGTATGTCAGTGAAGTTGAGTTTTAAATTTTATGTACTGGATGTGAAGAATATTTAAATTTCCATATTCTGGCCACACTTCTTATTTGGTTGTGCTTTACGGTGCTTTAGTTCATGCTGCCAAATGCAACAGATTAATGTGTAGATCCACCCTTAGAGTAACCCTTACCACCTAACCTCTATACAGCGATCAAACGTAAAGTGTTACTAAACCCAGGACCATGCATTCACTATATCTGGTCTCCCACAGTACACAGACCATGTAAATGCAATTATTTTAGTAAATATAAACTGCTAAATACCTTTTCTTATCAGCAGTATATAACAGTGTTGTGACTTCCATCAGTGTCCAGCAGAGCACATATTAAAGCATGTAGAATGAGTTTTAATTCTGCTCAAGGAAGGTGCAGGACCCCTGACCTCTGTTTGTATAGTGCTGATTGGCCCTGTGCTGATCACATGCACTCTCCCAAGAGAAAAAAAGCAATACACACCAAACTGAGCATGTGCAGAGTGACTCCACACGATACGTCTTATCAGGAGATAAGAGGGTGACACTGGAAGAAGAGAAGGATCAGAAAAGTCAGGATCAAACAGCGTTTTTACACAATGCAGAGGATTAACCCCTTAGGTTCCACAGTGAGTATAACAAGTATGCTTTACTGAATATACAGACTTATTTTACTGTTGTGGGTTTAGTTACACTTTAAAGGGTAACTTTTTCCCAGAAGTCTGCACTAAGGTACAGCTCAGATTTTAGGCATCCCCTGCAAAAAAAAAAAAATATTTTTAATGTTTAAATCACATCTAAAGAGATACAGAAACTGCAAGTGTCTTCGTTAGAGCCCTGCAAGTGCAACAGCTGATTGATAATAAAAAAATCTCTACCATACACTGTGCACATTTATATAACCAGACAGACAGATTTTCCAAAGTTTGTTAAAATCCTTGCACTGTACATAGATCACCCAGAGGGCAATGTTTTTTTCTCAACAAAATTGCAGTTACTTCTTAAAGTGCTACTAAACCCAGAACCCTGTATTTACTATATCTGGTCTCCCACAGTACACAGAACATGAAAGGAAAATATTTTAGTAAATATAAACTGCTAAATACCTTTTCTCATCAGCAGTAAGAGCAGTCTTGTGATTTCAGCTGAGCACTGGTTAAAGCTTGTAGGAGGAGTTTTCTTTCTGCTCTAGGAGAATTTGAAACTCCTGACCCTCTGTCTGGACAGTGCTGGTTGGCCCTGTGCTGATCACATGCACTCTCCCAAGAAAAAAAAAAAAAACCTCTCTAGCAATACACACTAAACTGAGCATGTGCAGAAGGGCTGCGGGTTCAGTCTGTCTTATCACGATGACATTTGAACAAGAGGAGGGGCAGAGAAAACAGGACCAAACAGCCTTTTTACACAGTGCAGAGGATTAACCCTTAGGCTCCACTCCACAGTGAGTATAACAAGCATGCTTTACTGCATATACAGACTGATTTTACTGTTGTGGGTTTAGTAACACTTTAAAGTGTTCACCTAACCCTGGAAATTAACCCATTAAACGTTTTACCTTTAGTCCCAATCAAACAATCAAAGCGAACCTGAATACCTAATGTGAACTCTAAAAGTTAACCTAACACTTATCTCTGTACCAACCATGGATGTGAAAATGTAGCGTATAGCAATAATAAACCATTATTATTACGGTTGTTTTTCCCTAATGGTGTGTTTTCAGAGCAAGAGACTCCCTCTTGTGGATATAGAGAAAACTGGTATTTCTTTCTTCAAGATTGTATTACGATACATGGAAGTCTAAAATTACTTTATTTTCGAGTAGTAAAAAAGAGTTAGTTATGACATTCAATGATACACTTCTCACAGTGAAAACCGATGAGCTCCCAGCAGAAAATAGATAAACGACCAAAAGAGCCCAGGTGAAATATCACAACACTGCCCTATGTAAAGAATGCTATTGTGACCCACATACACATACATTAGGGAACTGAAGATAACTTACTAAATAGATGAGAATCCTCTGTCACAAAACTAAAGAGACCTTTTTTTTAATTTGTTGAGTAGGGTGCAGCATACCATAAACAAAATTAAAGTTTATTTCTATTTATTACTGAACAGTATAAACTTTAATGCAGTTCTAGTAGGCAGTATTACAAGTCCTGCACACACAGACACATTTTAATCTGCATAGCACAGGCAACAAACCTCTGTTTCTTAAACAGAACAAGCTGTTTTCATAGTTACATAGTTAGTCTGGCTGAAAAAGAAAAAAGTCCATCCAGTTCAACCATTAAAAAAAAAAAAAGTTATAATCCTTCACCCACAGTTGATCCAGAGGAAGGCAAAAAAAACAGCAAAGCATAATCCAATTTGCTCCTGCAGGGAAAAAAAATTCCTTCCTAATCCCCCGAGAGGCAATCGGATATTCCCTGTATCAACTTTACCTATAAATGTTAGAATCCAGTTATATTCTGTGTATCTAAGAAAGAATCCAGGCCTTTTTTAAAGCAATCCACTGAGCTGGCCAGAACCAACTCTTGAGGGAGTCTATTCCACATTTTCACAGCTCTTACTGTGAAGAGACCTTTCTGTGTTTGGAGATTAAATTACTTTTCCTCCAGACGTAAAGAGTGCCCCCTTGTCCTCTGTGATGCCCTCAGGGTGAATAGCTCTACACCGAGTTCACTATATGAACCACTGATGTATTTATACATGTTGATCATATCCCCCCTTAATCTCCTCTTCTCAAGAGAGAATAAATTCAGTTCCTCTAATCTTTCCTCATGTTTGTTCCAGTAGCACATAACCAAAAACATATACAGGCATCCAGCCACAAAAGTAGAGGCATAATGGATAAAAAAAATCAAAATGTCTGTTTAACCACTTGCCCTCTAGAGGATTTACCCTCCTTAATGACCAGGCCTCTTTTTCCTACTCGGCACTGCACTAATTCAACTGATAATTGCGCGGTCATGCAATGCTGCACCCAAATGAAATTTACGTCCTTTTTTCACACAAATAGAGCTTTCTTTTGGTGGTATTTGATCCTGTGTGCTTTTTATTTTTCACCCTATAAACAAAAAAAAACAAACATTTTTAAGAAAAACAATATTTTTAACTTTCAGCTATAAAAAATATATAGTAAACTCAAAGTTAGTTATAAATTTAGGCCAAAATGTATTCTGCTACATGTTTGTGGTAAAAAAAATCCCAATAAGTGTATATTGATTGCTTTGTGTGAAAGTTATAGCATCTACAAACTATGGTATAGATAATGAAATTTACACACTTTTTTTGCTATACAGCGCTGCGCTAGTTTAACTGACAATTGCGCAGTCATGCAATACGGTACATACATGACATTTATTTCTTTTTTTCACACAAATAGAGCTTTCTTTTGGTGGTATTTGATCACCTGTGCGCTTTTTATTTTTGGCACTATAAACAAAAATGTTTTGAAAAAATTTAAATTTTTTTTAAAAAATTATATTCTCTCATCTCTGTCATAAAAAATATTCAAAAAAACTAAAATTTCATCATAAATTTAGGCCAAAATGTATTCTGCTACATGTTTTTGGTTTAAAAAAAAATCCCAATAAGTGTATATTGATTGCTTTGTGTGAAAGTTATAGTGTCTAAAAACTATGGTATAGATAATGGAATTTACACAGCATTTACTTTCTGACTGCCCATCACATTTCTTGAGGTGCTAAAATACCAGGATAGCACAAACACCCCCAAATTACCTCTTTTTGGAAAGTAGACACCCTAAGCTATCTGCTGAGAGGCATAATGAGTCCATGGAAGATTTTTTTTTTTTCCACAAGTTTCCGGAAAAAGTCAAAAACATTTTTTTTTTTTACACAAAGCTGTCATGTAAGATATATTTCTCACACAAGCCATGGGTATATGTGAAATAACACCCCAAAATACATTCTGCTACTTCTACCGAGTATGGGTATACCACATGTGTGAGACTTTTTGGGAGCCTAGCCACATATGGGAGCCTGAAATCCAATGACCACTTTGAAAGTTTGAAGGTGCGTAACTTCCTCATTTCACTTCCTCACTACCTATCACAGTTTCGGAGTTCCTGAAATGCCAGGATAGCACCAAACCCCCCAAAAAAAAACCTTTTTGGAAAGTAGACACCCCAAGGAATTTAAAAAGAGGCATGGTGAGTATTTTGCAGATCTAATTTTTTCTCACAAGGTTTTGAAATATAAAAAAAAGAAAAGAAGAAATATGTTTTTGTTTTTTTTCTTCATTTTCAAAAAACATGTGGCAGCAAACGAGATCTGCAAAATACTCACCATACTTCTTATCAAATTCCTTGGGGTGTCTACTTTCCAAACAGGGGTCATTTGGGGGGGGGGGGGTTAGGTGCTATCCTGGCATTTCAGGGCCTCCAAAACTGTGATAGGTAGTCAGGAAGTGTAATGAGGAAATAAAGCCCTTTAAAAGTTGAAAGGTGCTTATTGGATTTTGGGGTCCTGTACTTGGCTAGACTGCCAAAACGTCTCTCACATGTGGTACCCCCATACTCGGGAGAAGTAGCAGAATGTATTTTGGGGAGTAATTCCACATATACCCATGACATGTGTGAGCAATAAATCATTTAAGTGACAATTTTGTGTGATAAAATCATTTTTGTTTGTCATTTACCAAAAACTTGTGGTAAAATAAATTCTTCTATTGATTCAACATGCCTCTCAGCAAATAGTTTGTGGTGTCTATGTTCCAAAAAAGGGTCGTTTTGGGGGATGGGGCATTTTATGCCCAGCATTAGAAGTTTATGCCACACATCACTCACTAAAACTATAAAAGATGATGGTATGCCGAGTAAATAGATACCAAACATAACATGCTTTAAAACTGCGCATGCCACGTGCAATGGCGACAAACTGCATACGTTTTTAATATCCATAGGCAATGTTTTAAAAGCCTTTACAAGCTACCATTTTAAATTTACAGAGAAGGTCTAGTGTTAGAATTACTGCCCTTGATCTGACCTTCACGGCGATACCTCACATGCATGGTGTAACCGCTGTCTACATACCTGCACAGGGTCAACGCTCAAGCACACAGGTGTGCGTGCGTGGTGGGGAGAGGGTGGTTTTTTAAAAGTTATTTTGATTTTTTAATTATTTTTACACTGTCCCTTTAATTTTTTGGGGGGGGGTTTTATCACTTTTAATGCTATCACAGGGAATGCAAATATCCCCTATAACTTCAATGGGCATTGTCATATATTCTTTTTTGAGAAATCTTGGTTCTATCAGACTCTAGATATCTCCTCTGCCCTTACATTATCTAATCAAACCAAAATCGGTGTGATCAGATGCTTTCCCAATTTACAAATGGTGCTGTTTATATCCTGCAAAACTGAAGTGATGAAATGCTCGTAGCTTCCGATTTCTTAGACTATAGAGATGATTGGCACCATTTTGGTCTCCAATCAGCTCTATGGTCAGCTGGCAGAAACGCCAGCTACATTCTCAGGTTCCCCCGATGGCACGGGACTGCCCGAGAAGGCCGTGGAAGGCAGCAAGGGGGGGATCATCATCTCTCGCTGCTTGTAAAAGCAATCCTGCAGCTAATTAGCCACTAGGATTGCTTTTACATGAAAGCCAATCACCGGCTGAAAAAAACCAATACCAGGATGATGCCGTTAGCTGTAGGGTTTATCTTGGTATAACCATTCAAAGTCCAGTGATGTACCAGTACGTCGCTGGTCCTTGTTGGATATATATGCTATGTTCTTTTTTTTTGTATAAAGCCTGTGGGCTGAATGAAAAAAGAGTAGAAATCTCTGCCAGAAAAAGTGTGTGGTATTCCCACCATTAGAATATACTGTCCTGCATCCACCCACTTCTAATGGTGAGCACACATTAGGTCGCACAGTGCTACATGCGCCAATTCCAAGATTGTACAAATGTCTAAATAGTGGCACACTTGAATAAAAATTGTCCACGTATATGTGAGATGGGGAAACAGCTCTCATTGTTTGAACACTGTGTGGAAGTAAATTAATGTTTTGACTGACATTCTGCGGTTTAGCCACAAGATGTCACTGTTTTTCTAACACAGGCTCAGACTGCATAGATATTTGTATATTCATGAAGAGGTGGGGTTTTGCACTCTGAGTTAAAGTTTAGTGAACAGGAGGAGGAGACTGCAGCCATTTTTTGGGACGATGCTGAATGAAGGGGCCGTGTGAGCTGAGAATCCGATGACATCCAGGTGTGAATGCGTCCCTCAGTAACCAGAGAATGCTGCCAGGAATGCTGATGAGATTGCTGCCAGGAAGCTGATGAGATTGCTGCCAGGAATGCTGATGAGATTACTGC